TCTTTAAATGTAAACACTGATTTATTTTGATAAATTACGATCGAATTTTGACAAATCTTTCAGGACAGATGAGGAGGAAAAAGTTATTAACAGAAACATTGCTTATACAAGGCGACTTGTTAAAATTTGTATTTTTTTATTCGGTATCACCCTATGTAAGGCAATAAAGCCACTAAGACATATTGAGTAATAGGGTGTGGAAGAATTAGGAACAGAGACCAAAGGGAGGGTCCATTATATATATATACAGTAAATGGACTTCAGTTTTAGTTTCCCCCGCCCCATCTCTCTCCCCCACCCCTTTTTTTCTTTTCCTCTCCCTCCCTCTTCTTCTGATCTTTAAGATCGTCTATTGTGTGTGTATGTCACCACAAAATGTATCCTTTCTGGTTACATCTTTAATGTATTAGACATCCGACAACATTCATATTTCTCTCACTTAAACCGTCTTTGACTCCCACCTCTAAAACTTCTCTCTGTTAAATTTTAATCCCCCACCTTCTCTCGTCTGTTACCCCTCTCTTTAGCTCTAACATTCGTCCCACACTCTCATACTTACACTCTCTCTAAATTTTATTTTTTATTTCCGGAGTTGTTTTTTCTGTTTACTTTTTTTGAATTTGTAGGTCTGATGAATTGGAATAAATTATGACCATGGAATATTAGTGTTTAAGCCTTTTTATATATATATATATATATATATATATATATATATATATATATATATATATATATATCTGCTCTACGGTTGTATTGAGCTCTTTTTAATTAGTTGTTTACTCGTATCGGTTTTTTTTCTTTGGGCTTCAAACCTGTATCTGTGCGATTTTTTTCGACAGACTTTCATGTTCCTGGCTATTTCTTTTTTTAAAACATTTTTTCCTTCGAGATTGATTTGATTATTGGCAAAACGAAAATTCGAAGGTTTTCGAGACCAGTATAGTTACCTCTCTCTCTCTCTATATATATATATATATATATATATATATAGAGAGAGAGAGAGAGAGAGAGAGAGAGAGAGTAGGTAGGGAAGATGACTTCTTCATGGTTTTGAATACAGTGTAGTCATTCTAGATTGGACAATCTAAACTGCTACAAAAATCAAAATAGATTCTGTTGTCAATATTGGAGCAAAATGTCTTCTTTAATATTTTTAAGAAAAAGTCTCTAATACTTCATTCAGCAGTAATTTTGGATGTGCTTGTAATGTGGCAGTTATCTTCATTCAAATACGTATCATTGAATAATATAGACATATTTTACCTACTTATTTTTATACTGATCCTTTCCATTTGTCTAATCAGATTCTTGATGTTCACATGAAATTCATTAAGGAAGGTGTCGTAGTTTTTTTTTTAGCCCAAGTACTTTCGATATTTTCCGAGATCATCTTCAAGGGTGAATTTCAATCACAAACTTATTGTAACTGCTATAAAATCTGAATTCCGTTATGATGCTGATTGCTAAAAACACGCGCGAACACGCTCTGTAATTATTTTTACATTTTTAATTTATCTGTTGTAGCTATGGATTTTTTTTGCAATACAAGCGTTTCAATATAAGGGAGGTAACCAGAAATTGGTAGAAATGTAAAATGGCATTAAATGTTACATACACTTTAATATTTTGTTGCGATATTCGTAATAAATTTTGTTGAGTGTTGGTTGATTGTTTTGATATAGCGGGCCTCGACTATTTGAAGTTTTTGTTTATTATTTTCGTGGTGTATTATATTGATGTTTTGTTCTGTATTGTGGGGGTGGACAGGAATTTGTTTTTAAATTTTGTCCGATATAACTTGTATCTGGCATATGGTGGTAAGACCTCTTGATAATGTGGTTGTCAAGCCAATATTGCAAAAATATAAAAGTGGACATTGAAGCCCAGCGACAACAGTATATTTCATGTTTAAATGTATTTTCAGACCATGTGTGCTGTGTTACGGCACGACTCTTTATATATGCTGGTAAATGGTGTATTATTATTGTATAATTCTAATGGTTATTGATTGGGCTGTAACAGCTATATTTCAAATTATTCTACAGGTTATTTCATAGACATAATTGTGGATCCGAAAGCGGTTATTTGTACCTGTTTTATAGTGTTTTTTTTTTAATTTTTACTCATTTCTTATTACTTTATTATTTGTTATTGATTATAATTATTACATTTTTTGTTAATTTGCTTAATATTTAATTGTTTATTTATTTAGATTTTTGAGGTGTTGCTTATCTTATTTGTTTAAAGTATTGACTTTGAAGTATGTTTCATTATCCACATTGTATATAGCGCATATATCTGCATTTTCATGGTAGTTTTTTACAAGTTATTCATTTTTAGTTTTAGATTTTTAAGTCACATAGCTGCCTCTTTTTGATTCTAAGTGTCCATTTGTTTCTGTTTTCTCTAAAGGTTTGTCCTTGCTCACGAGTTCAGTCTATGATATTTTTAGCATCTTTCTATAGAATCACATTTTTGTTGCTTCAAGTCTCTTCTTCTTATCTGTGAAGAGATTGTTCACCATTTACTGCGATATAGGAAGACCTATATTGCATAAGAGTTCAGTATTCTTTCCTTTGTTTTTAACAAAAGTTTCCTGTTACTTAATACTTTGCTTAGCTTTTGGAAGGCATCTTTTGCCATCCCAATCTGCCTTCAGATTTCGGTATCACACTTTCCATGCTGATAAGACATTGAAAAATTATTGATAAGTCAGTCAATGAATGTTGAGCAAATTAAATTCTCATTTCTTTGCTAGTAGTGACATGTATCAAGTTAATATCAAAGGTCATGTGACATGTATCAAGTTAATGTCAAAGGTCATGTGACATGTATCAAGTTAATATCAAAGGTCATGTGGCATGTATCAAGTTAATATCAAAGGTCATGTGACATGTATCAAGTTAATATCAATGGTCATAGTGCTATCTTCTGTGTAATGTAAGTGAAATCTTAGAAATGTCATTTAAGTTTACTTAATCCCCTATTGCTAGAAACATTCATCAACTGCGTTATGTCATGTAAGTATTATATAATGTGGGATTACCCAATCTTGCCTGTGAGGAAACTTCTCTTAATGCCCACTAGGTGGAGCTGTATAGAGCAGTATAAAATTATTGGGCACAAACATTCTTTTTATTCTTTCTCTCTTCAACCACAGGATGCTGTAGGGACATGACATGTCTTGTTTTTATACACGGAGGTTTTTTTCAATCCCTAGGTGAACCTTGTGTTATAAAATAAAATAAGACATATCTCGGCTGATTTACAGGCAAATACTCAAGAGCGAGAACCGGATGTGAACGGGACAAAGCCCCGTCACAAAATGACCATTATCTTTCTTTACAAATGTTCCCGACACACGTGTTCCGGTCGAAAAATAAAATAATATTTAAAGTGCTCTATTTTTCGTTCAAAAAATGCTTCCCTCTTAATTATACTCGCTTCGTTTCTCGAGCCTGTTAAGCCATAAAAAACACTATAAAAGGGGTCACACGGAAGTTCAACGGCAGTCAACAGGTGGTCAGTGAACAGACCTGACGGTCAGGCCGAGCGATCAGCAGCAGGGGAGCATCAATCACCGTCAACATGTGTGAACTACTATGAGAGATTGACCTAGATCCGAAAGCCGGCTTATGAACTTTACCACAAGGTAGCTGTCCCAAACCCTCACGTTCCTGTTGAAATAAACCACGTAGATCTATTTCTACTGTTGTCGTATTTCTTTCTTGCAACCATACGCTTGTCTATAACACTTGTCATTGCTCATATGTTCGGTCCATCATATTCTCAGTATACTTTTGTAGAACCACATTTCGGCTGCGTCAAGTTTCTTCTTCATCTGTGAGGAGACTGACCTGCATTCATTGCCATGTGAGAAGACTGATATCACGTAGCAGTTCAGTACTCTTTGTTTTGTTGTGTTGTTCTTTTATCTCTGAACTCAAAACAACTAGCAATGTTAACCGAGAGAGATGACGCAACTTTATTATCGAATTGACATCATCACCCAAGACCGCCGACATGAGAGGGGGGGGGCTATACAACAATTACTTAATTATTGGTTCTTGATTATTATTATTAGTTTGACTTGTGTTGATATGTTCATTCGTACTTTGTTAATTTGTTTATCATTTACTTAATTTGTTTACTATTTATTGATTTAGATTTTTTGTTTATTTTACGTATTTATTCACTTTATGTTTATTTATTTTCCTGTTCGTTTTTTGTTTTCGATTTTTAAGTAACGTAGTAAAAATTGTTTTCGTGAGTTCTGATCGTCTATTTAGTAATTTCTGAAGGCAATTATAGGCATTTTCACATCTCGACAGTGTTTACAGTCTTGTGATTTATTGTTGTAGGCTGAAGCTGTTTTCGTTATTTTCCATGATATTTTGGGGTTAATTTGTTTTGTTTTTTTTTAATTTCCCAGATATATTTAGAAAGTATTGTGCTGTTCACGTATTTACTATTTATGAAGGATGTTTTGTGTGCGTAGTTTTTCTGTTTTCAGTGTCCTTCCGTTAATCCTATGTTATTTTTTTTTCGTTACCTGCTGACTTTACAGTGGCTTGGTATATTACATTGTTTTGCAAGCATTTTTTCCTTCCGTTCTTCTTGTTTGACTTAGGTAGTGGCGAAAAGTCACATAATCTTGTTCATTGGAAGAAACGGAAAACAAAAGCGACGCAACAATAAAAAAGTTAACAATTTACCCTCGTGGTTTGAATAGATTGTTAATTTAAAAATTTAACAGGTTATTTAAAGCCAGAAAATATTTTTAGATTCTAAGAATTTTGGTGAGGGGAATAATAAGGAACTTATTGATACAAGTCTTTCTAATCAACCATAGCTGGGCGGGGGCGGGAAAGAAGAGGATTCATATCTTTCCCAAGGGTACGTGTGCGTAGATGAATATATAGAACTCATCGGGAATTTGAACTCGGTTAACTGATTAACAATGCCGAACCATTATCAATTACACCACCCGCACGAACAAGCTTACAGCACCCGGTATTCCCAAGCGGTCACCCATCTCTAGATACTGACTGGGTTCGACGTTGC